ATATGCTTCGTTTTTGTGTTGCAGACGTTTTTCATACAACAGATGTTTCTAAGAGTTGCGAAAGTGTGTGGGATGATTCTGGATATGTAACAGAATGGATAACAGAAAAAAAAATTTTAACATCACGAAACTATTCAGGATCATTGTCGTCAAAGTCAATAAAGGGTGGTGCTTCAGAATATTGTGAATCTCCTTTATGCATTCTGACATCTTGCATAGCTGGACCTTCTTCCCAAATAGGTTGAGTCTTCTGGGCATAACATCGTCCGAACCAATGAACTCTGTTTTGGAAAGCTGTTGCCTGAAACATAAGAATTAGAAATCTCAGAAATAGAAAAACTTACAGTGGTGGGATCGGTGGGAAACCAATCCTTCGATTCGAAATTACTTATGAGAAACACTTTAGTAGCAACAATTTGTACGGAACTGAATTTCACATTTAATCGGCAGAATCCGTCGTTGGTTAACAGTAGAAGTTGTTTATTACTTATGAGTTTCCACAACAGATTCAGCAGGAGTCTCCACAACAGATTCAACAGGAGGTTCACTAACAGGTTGCGTACGATGTTGTGCACAAGATTTTCTGGGAACCTTTGTAGCAATCCTAGATGGCTGAATAATTTTTAATTAACTGAAAACTAGACTCATCTTACCTTTTCCACTCTATATTTCTTATATGGAGATGCGTTGTTGGGTCTGATAACATGTTTAACTCTTGCCATTCTAAAAATATTTCTCAAAAACATATAATGATTAAAAGAACAAGAAAGATAATCAAAGCAAACATTGCAATTTCAAAAACAGAAAATAAACAAGGTTTTCGCCTTCATTTCGTAACGGTCCATGAACATATCTAGTTCCAACGGCCCATTATTAATTATCATAATGCTTTCTTTATCTAAAGCGGTATACAGCCAGCAGAAGTGGCCTAACTCCTGGTGAATGGTATATTTTACCCGCTCCAGCCCGTAGATGGCAGTGACAGAGGCGGTACGCAGATCCCTCTGCGTCTCCGGGAGAGCGGCCAACAGGTCGGCGGCCTCAATACTGCAGCCACATCCGACGGAACAGATAATCGAATCCCTTCCGGACATCTTTCGAATCTGAAATGAAAAAAAAAAATATATATTAAATTAAAACCTGATCACTTACGATGACAGCACAAAATATCCGATGACTCATCAGACCAAATCAAT